ATCAGCCAGTCAGGACCTTCATATCTAGTTAGTGAAGTATAAATTATTTTGTTTACGATAACAAAAGACAGACAGCATGAAAACAGGCCATTCAACCCAATCAGTCCATGCTGTCTTTATGCTCCTGTCAAACCTCTTCCCATCTTTCATCAACCAGGTCTATTACTGTAATCCACTATTCACTGCTCCCTCCTTTTTAGTGGAGCTTCCCCTTAAAATCACACTTGCACTATAAAGTTCAACCATTCCCTGTGATTTCATAATCTCACCACTCTTTGGTAGTTTTCATCTCAAATACCTCTTGAAATTATAAATCACTGTTTTATATTGATAACTTGTAGTTAAGTTCTTCTACAAGAGGGAACATTCTGTCTGTACCCACTATATCGAACTCTTTCATAATGTTGAAGACTTCTATTAGGTCACCCTTTAATCTATTTTTTCAACAGAAATCAGTCCGTCAATCTTTTCCTGATGGCGATCAGAAGTGCACACATGTGTTTTGGAACTAAGGCTCAATGCAGATATAGCCTAGCTTCCCTTTCTGGACTGACAGTGCATGTCTGGGTGTGCAACATCTTTTAAAGATGACACATGCGTCTGTGATCCCAGGCTATCCCAGTAGCTCTGTTCCTCTCAGAAATAAAGCCCGTTTTCTTGATTTACTTTATTTTAATGACCTTTCCAACCTATGCACAACTATCATTGATTGATGTATTTGTACTCTAAGATCCCTTTATTCCATTACCCTTCCTAGTTGCACCTTCCAATTTCTGGCCACTTTACATCTCCCTATTCTTCTACCAAAATTTATTATCTCATATTTATCTGTGCTGAACTTCATTTATCGATTATTTGCCCATTCTGCAAGTTTATTAATGTCCTCCTGTTATTTATTGCAGTTTTCCTCATATTGACTGTTCCTCCAATTTCGTGTCATCTGAAAATTTGTAAATTTTTCATTTTCTTTGTGCCTTTTTCAGAAGTGTTGAAAACCACGTAGCAGATGGACTACATATTTGCCATTTATATGTCTTTAACACTCATGCAGGTGCTTCAGAAATGTGAAAGGAATATTAATTCAGGGATATTCTGGTTGGTCAGTTTTAGTTTATTCCAGTGGTTTCTACTGTTCCACTAGTAGGAGAGACTAGGACCCAAGGCAACAGCCTCAGAGTGAAGGGACAACCTTTTGGAACTAAGATGAGGAGGAATTTCTTCAGCCAAAGGATGGTTAACTTGTGGAACTCATTGCTGCAGGGAGCTGTGGAGGCCAAGTCATTGAGTGTATTTAAGACGGAGATAGGTTCTGGTTTAGTAACAGGATCAAAATTTATGGGAAAAAGACAGTAGAATATGTTTGAGAAGCACTTGAGCCATGATTGAATGGCAGAGCAGACTCGATGGACTGATTGGCCTAATTCTGCTCCAAAATCTTATGGTCGTATTCCTATAATAGATTAATATTGCATTAAAACATAATAAAATTGCACATTACCACATTGCTCTACCTTTGTAAAAAGCAACAAATAAGAAAACGGAGATAGCAAGGTGTAGAGCTGGATGAACACAGCAGGCCAAGCAGCATCAGAGGAGCAGGAAAGCTGACGTTTCGGGTCTGGACCCTTTTTCAGAAATGGGGGAGGGGAAGGGGGTTCTGAAATTAATAGAGAGAGGGGGAGCCGATGATAGAAGGTGGATAGAGGAGCAGATAAGTGGAGAGAAGGTGGACAGGTCAAGGAGGTGGGGATGAAGCCAGTAAAGGTGAGTGTATGTAGGGAGTTGGGATGGGGGTTGATCAGTGAGAAGGGAGGGGCAGGTAGGTGGGAGGGAAGATGGACAGGTCAACGAGACGGGGATGAGGCTAGTGGGTAGGAAGTGGGGGTGGGGGTTGGTCAGTGAGGTGGGAGGAGCGGATGGGGGGAGACGGGATGGACAGGTCAAGAAGGCGGGGACGAGATGGGCTTGTCTTGGGATGAGGTGGGGGTTTGGGGAGATTTTGAAGCTTGTGAAGTCCACATTGAGACCATTGGGCTGCAGGGTTCCCAAGCGGAATATGAGCTGCTTCGGGTGGCATTGTGTAGCCCAGCAGAGGAGGTCACACTATTAGATCCTGCCAGTCTGGTCCAAGGTTGCCATCTGCGTCCTTGTGGCCTCAGCTTTCTGGAGGAGTGCCCAGTGGAGTAGGAAGACGGTCAGTGACTTTTTCCCACTTGGCTACCAAGTGCCACTATCTTCTAATCTTCTACCTGCTACCTCGCTCTTACTGTCTCTGTGCTACTTCACCACCTCCTACCATGTTCATGCTATATCACGCACAGTCACTCTGAAGCTCACAAACCAGTTTATGACCTCCGTTCTGCCAATTCATTTGCTCGAGACACCTTACCACTTTTCCCCACCAACAGCATCACTAACAGCTGTGACACCCACTTTCATCTCATTTATTCACTCCCTCCTCCTCATTCCAGGAGAAAACAGCCCACAGCCAGGCAGAAAGACCAAGGCAGCTGGTGGGCTGCCCAACATTCAGCTCCTCACAGTACACCACCCCTCCAACCTGAGGTGATGACCTTGACCCCAAATGCCACAAGTGGCCAACTGACTGGGCTAATATTAGAGGCTGCCCTTGGCATACCGTGCCGATACTTTCTGACCAAAGGCAGCTGCTTTCGACCTGACTGAAGATTGCTGACAGACAGGATAAGCTTTATGGCTTTGTGTTCGTGTCTGCACTCAACAACAGGCAAGACAGAAATACCGTGAGCCTGGCAGCTTGCTCTTTGGGGCAGCAAAGCACAAAAAGGCAAGGCAGGGATGCTGTATGCATCCAGGTACTCTCAAAGTGAGGGTGAGTGAGCACTAAGACAGCAAATGAGTAGCTCTGAGATGCAGAGATAACAAGGTGCAGGGCTGGATGAACACAGCAGGCCAAGCAGCATCATAGGAGCAGAAAGGCTGAAGTTTCGGGCCTAGACCCTTCATCAGAAAGCCTGGTCCAATCCATAAGCCAGATGCCTGACCCCACACACAAGGTATCCTTGCGCCAACATTTCAACACTAGTTGCCAGTGCACCCAAGGTGTAGCTTTAAAGTGTAGAAGTATCTGGTAAGTGTATCAGAGAACTGCTGCAAACATTCTGAGAGGGATGGCAGGTGTTAGATGCCAATATCTGTCGACAGGGAAGTGAGTGTAGCTGGTGCTCATTGAGCCTGCCCTGAGGTATTGGTGCCTTGTGTCCAAGATTGTGTTCTGAAGGAGCAAGCGGTGAGCTGGAGCTGCCAGTTACCTGTTCTGACTTGCATGTCAGGAATTCTCGGTGTCTGTTTTCCTCACAGCCGGTGGTGGAATATTCAGCTGCATATTAATGAGATGAGATATGCAATTAATGAGTCTGATCGCAACGAGTCATGAATCTCATCTCAATGCAAGCAACTTATTTGTAAAATGCAACTATTTGTTCCCAACATTGAGACAGGGTTTGCTGGGTTTCTCATCTGATTCTCACAGTTTTCTCGCCATAGCCCATGTCATTCAGGACCTTATAAGATTCCACCCTTAAATCTGGTGTGGGTCTCAACCAGAATGGTTGCAAATATACTACCATTAGCCTCATTCCTCTGGATGAGCGAAGGAAAAAAATTAGATTTTCTATGCAATCATTATCCATGAGCATATTGTGACACCCACGTAAGGAGAACAGATTTACACCACTTTCTTCGACCTCTCGTTTGGTCACAAAAAAAATTTTCTATTTCTTATTTTCATTCAAATATCACATTCCAACTAAAATGTAATTTACTAGTAAATGGAGCTAATTACCAAAATTCTGTTGAGTGAAAGAGACGGAAGTTTTAATATCCACTAGTTCTGAGAAAAATAATAGAAAAGACCACATCAAATCCACACACAAACACAGGTAATATGTTTAAAAGGGAGCGTGCCTGATTCAGAGAGGGAAAATAAACGTTATGGAGTTAAATAGTCTTTCATGTCCTTGAATGTTAGCTTTTTAACATGTAATCATACTTGTTTAATGGTTGACTTGTAACCTCAGCAGACAAACATATAAACCTCTGGACGAGGAACAAGCTAGACCACTCAGCACATTGACCCTGCTCTGCCATTCAGTAATGTTATGGCTGATCTGATGTTAACTTCAGCTCTATATTCCTACATACTACCGATAATCTTTCAAGAATCAAGAATCTATCTACCTATGCCCTAAAAATGTCCAAACTTCGGTATTCACTGCCTTTTGACGAAGGGAGTTCCAAAGACACTCAGCCCTCTGAGAGAAAAGTAGTAGTGGATACTGTAGATATCTTTGAGTGCTTGGTAAATGGCTGCTTTCCTAGTTTGGTTTTCCACTGGATGCTGCATTCTGAGATGATGAGAAAGAAATGGTCATTTCAGTGCAGTCAGCTTCATCTATTTCACATGGGGCTCCTAACACTTCTCTCAAACTGTGATCAGGTGACCACTGCAGCTATTTTAGGCCCATGTATCTTTCTTTAATAAAAAGAAAAGTTGATGAAAGATCTCAAGTATAATAATCAGATGATAGAAGTTAAATTGCCCATATTAACTATTACTGTCACCATGTGTGGACATCAGGCAAAGCTTGGTCTTGGTAGTCTCACACTCACTTGGGCAAGATTGTAGATGAGAACAAAGCTTGTGACTGTGACAAATTATATTGCCTCCATGTGACCTACAATTGTAGAGAGAAACAATTTTTTTAAATTTCCATATGAAGGTAATCAGAAAATAATTTCACAGATACAATTTTTAACCAGAATCTTCAGAATTTTAATTTACCAACTGAATCTATAATGTGAAATGCTCAGTGAAACAGACCTTCTGTAGTACCTTCTCACAGTATGTTGCCCTTTTATTTTGACTGAAAAACATAATACCATTGATCTTTCACATATTCAGACTTCATTAGTACTATCATGCTGAGAAGTACTTCTAATTGATTTATATTTAAACTCAGAATAAATACTTTACTTTTATCTTAACAGGATTGAAAAAACGTACAAGGAAGGCTTTTGGAATACGCAAGAAAGAAAAAGACACTGACTCGACGTAAGTGCTCAGTTTAAATAATCATTTCCTTCTGCAAGATTTGCTTAATGTGTTGTGGAATAATCAAAGCACTGCTGCTCCTCTGTCTTTCAGTGGACAGTTGTTCCAAATAGTTGAAAAGGATATTTTGTAGTGGGTATGAACTGTCTCCTTTTCTAACATATGCAAATTTATCAGAGTCTTTCAGTCATCTTTCTAATGCTGTTTTATACTGTGACTACAGTTAGCTAGTTGCAGATCTTGATAATATGTTAACATTAGGTTTCACATTGTTATCATAAGTGGGTTTGATATTATGGGCAAGTTCCCTCATTTCTTTCATATTAAAGGAACCTTAAAGTTGGAATTTGTTGCTGCTATTGAAGCTGAAATCTATGATGTTCACAGTTACACATGTCTGTTTCAAGGCAGGCAATGGTCAGAGAACGTAACCACTATTGTGTCCCAACTAAAAATTCTTAGGTGCATTGGCTCCCAGGTTTTTTTGGCAATCTCATTAAGGAGGATCTTTTAAATCCTTCCTTGTGGAAACAGACTACATTACTTTGATTTTGGTAGAGCATTGTCATAAAAATGCATTGAGTTTACTGGTAGCTTCTTGAAAAAGAAACCTGTCATCAGACAACTCTGTATTCAAAAAGGCTGACTTTGTAAATCTGTGAATTTCACCCTGAAAACTACAGATTAAGCTTACTTACTGGACATGGAATGTTAGGACAACACAAGGACCTGAGGGGTAACATTTTCATGCAGAGGGAGGTGAGTGTATGGAACAAGCTGAAAGAGGAAGTCGTGGAGGTTGGTGTAATTACGACATTTAAAAGGCATCTGGGTGGATATATGAATAGAAAGGGTTTAGAGGGATATGGGCTAAATGCTGACATATGGGACTAGGCCAGATTGGGATGTCTGGTCAGCATGGACAAGTTGGACCGAAGGGTCTGTTTCCATGCTGTATGACTCTGAGTGTGGCCTACATGTGATTCCATATTTACATCAACATGGCTAACTCCTATTTGTTCTCTGAAATAAAAACAGAAAATGCTCGAAATACGCAACTGGTCTGGCAGCATCCATAAAACGTTAAACAGAGTTCAGGACGAGAATTTTCGCCAGCTCCCTTGGGGGTTTGTGGCATGGACAGATCTAAACAGATGGGAATGAGACAAGTGGGTACCCCATCCCTTTCCCACCTCCACCACTATTAAGCACATGGTGGAAAGGGGTGGTCTTCTTGTCCTGCCTCCAATGGAGGCCCAGAAATGGCAACTCACTGTCCAGTTAAGTGTCTAATTCTGCCACTAGTATTCATTCATGGTGGGAGAATCAATGGGTCAAGGAAGGCTACCAGGTAATGAGGATGGTCAGGTCAGCAAGGGAGCCAGGAGATCTACACAGGAGTGAAAGACGTTAGTCATATAGTTGTCCAGGAATTAGACTAGGAATTTCTGTCTAACATTCTCTGGGTAACAATCAGTTAAGTAAATTGTAACTGTCTATGGTCTCTGCCTCTAGTTTAGAGTCTGACATTTCTTTTGAAAGGGGAATTTCCTGTTAGAAGCTCAAACTTCTGCGACATTTCCCACATCTGATGGGCCTGAATGCATCTCAGTTGTATAGCTAGTATCTAACTATCTGGAGGCCAGAAGATCTGGGGCAATAAGACTACTTGATCTGAAGGAAATGCCTCAATATTTGGACATTTATTTCTTTGCTTCATGGGGATTTGTCATGTAGGCCCCATATTTAGTTGTGACCCTGGATTTGTGCACTGTGTATTGGTCCCTCTTCAACTGTGCAGCCATTTTCTTTCCTAATACTCATTCAGATACAACAGAATGGTACATTTACCCACATTCCAAGATGAATTCAATTCACTGTCTTAGCTCAAGGTCATCCTGTTTGAACAATTTCACGAAGGAACCTCAATATTCAGGCAACATACTAGAAGGGAAAGGCAAACTTAAAGCACAATAAATGTCTGTTTTTAACAGATTCAAAGATCTAGCCTGTTGGTTTTTACTTTCACACCATCTTTGGATAAACTTCAATTGCATCAGATGTGTTGCTGAAGATTGGTTGGATTCTTTCCATTTGTAAGAGATGATGAAAATGTAGCAAGTCATCTGCTGCACTTCTCGATAACTAAACAAGCATATTCCAAAAAGGCAAAATCTTCAACAAATACCAAGCATAAAATTGTGCCTTGCTGCTGTGGGCTGATCTCTGCTGATGCCTTGTTTTAACGCTGACATGTGATCTGGATCTACAGAAACCACATGCTGCTAAAGTGGCAAATTCCTGCCCACGGTTGGTGTCACTAAATGCATTCATTTTCAGCTATAGCTCCTCACAAAAGCAAAGCAGCATGATGTTTGCCAGCTGCACTTCTCTTGAAGGTGATGTAGCTGACTTGTCAACTTTGAATCTGAATGCTCTGGAGTCATTTTGTGCATCTGGATATATTTTGTTTGCTTTAGAGGGAGCCTCATTAGAGTGACTCTGGCAAAGGCCTTTCCTGTACGTCAATGACTATAGGTGAAATATTAATAATTTCCCAAATTTATCAATTGTCCAGTTAGAAGATATATGACCATATTAACGGGTCATATAGTTGGTAAGTAATGCATTTGCAGAACGTGCCTCACCTAGCTATAGAATAATTGGATCTGCTGAGTTAAGTGTGTTCATTAATGTAAATGAAAACTCAATAACGGAAGAGAGAACTCAATGAAGGATTTCTCAGTATTATGAAATTGATTGGATATGGAGTCAATGAGGATTTTGTCCATCAAGGGTTATCACCATCACTTTGCTCTGTTTTTGGTGGAACAAAACGTCTCCTGCTTGAAGGATGTGCACTACATGTCCAAATTATGAGAGTTTGGAGACTTTGATATGTTTGTGTTGTAAACTTTTTTTTTAATCTTTCAAAGGATATGGAATGCTGCTACAAGATACCTACAGTGTATTTGATAATAATCCTGCTAGCTATATATGTCTGTTTTTTTATTGGCTACAGTTCATGGCTGTTTAAATGGTAATAAGAGCATCTGATGCCTTTTGTAGGTGCTTTCTTCAGGGATGGATTGTGGGCATGTTGGCTTAGCCAGCATTTATTGCCCATCATTAATTGCCCAAAGGAGGGTTAATAGTCAACCAAATTGGTGTGGGTCTGGAGTGACATCAATGGATCTAGAACCAGACCAAACCAGGCAAGTTTATCAGGTTTCCTTCCCTAAAGTGCATTAGTGAACCGGATGGATTTTAACAACAATTGACAATGGTTATATAGTTGCCATTAGGTTAGTTTTAATTCCAGATTTTTTATTGATTATGATTTATCATCTACCATGGTGTCATTCAAACCATGTTCCCAGAACAATAGCCTGTAGTTTTGGATTAATCACTACACCGCCACTTTTCCTCTACTATATGCTGGCCATATGTTAGCCTGCATAGCATATTCCACAAAACGTCAGCTTCTTCTGTGACAGATGTCTTGAAGTTTATTTCCAACACTTACTACTTACAAGGCTATGATATCACAGATTTACATATAGAGTCTGGGTTCTATGTCTACCGATGTTACGTATGTTATACATATACAACTGACTGACTAATCTGATTCCATGATACATTCCCAGGGTAGGGGAGTCTAAAACTAGAAGTCATAGGTTTAAGGTGAGAGGGGAAAGATTTAAAAGGGACCTAAAGGACAACTTTTTCACACAGAGGGTGGTGCCTGTATAGAATAAGTTGTCACAGGAGGTGATGGAGGCTGGTACAAATACAACATTTAAATGACATCTGGATGAGTATACGAATAGTAAGGCTTTAGAGGGATTTGGGCCAAATGCTGAAAAATGGGACGAGATTAATTTGGAATATCTGGTTGGCATGTTTGAGTTGGACCAAACAGTCTGTTTCTGGATGACTCTAATATGTAGATGCACAAAACAGCCTGGGTGTCTTTGTCAATAAGCCACTGAAGGGTGTAGCAGGTGTAGCCAACAATTAGGAAGGCCAATGGAATGTTAGCTGTTATTGCAAGAGAATTTGAGTACAGTTGTAACAAAGTCTTGCTTCAGTTGCATAGATACTTGGTTAGATTGCACCTAGAGTACTGTGTGCAAGTTTGATCCCCTTACATTAAGAAAGATATTGTTGCCATAGAAGGGACGAAATGAAGGCCCACCATCTACCTGGGATCTTCCTGAGACGATGGCACTGTCCAATGAAGAGGAATTTGCAAACTTGATCCATATACTCCAGATTTTCATTGAATGAGAGATGATCTCATTTAAGCCTACAGAATACTGAAAGGGTTAGGGTTAGGAACAAATTAAGTGCAGGTAAGATGTTTTCCCTGCATGAAATGTCGATAGCCAGGGAACACGGTTTAAAAATAAGGGGGAAACTGCTTAGGACTGAGGTAAGGAGTTTACTTTCAAATCGGGGATTGTGAATCTTTAGAATTCTTTACCCCAGAGGACTGTGGAAGCTCAAATCACTGAGTGTATTTAAAGTAGAGATTGGTATTTAGAAATCTGTCAATGACACAAAAGGATATGATGACAGTATGGGGAAAAGGCTTTGAAGTGGATGATTCGCCATGATTATGTTATATGGCGAGCAGATGCAATGGGCTGAATGGCCGATTGCTGCTCCTGCGTTCCAATTTAAAGGAGGGGTACCTGACTGCTGCCTGGAAGCTCAGATGACTTGCATAATGCTGGTCTCATATTCCATGAATTATGTGGATAATTTTGGTGTAGCATCACTTTCAGTTCATTAGGGCCATTTCATTTTGTACAGATCACCAATAACATCAGTAAAGCCCAGAACTTTGAAGAATCCTGTGATGTGAAAATAATTCCACGGTCCCTTGATTCTGTTGCTATATTTTCCATGGAAAATGTGATGAGATTGTTTACTCTAATGAATAATCCGTCAGCCACCACCTTAATCCAACTATAAGTACACAGTGACTCATGTTT